TTTGCTTTCTCTGAATTAGTTGCTCCTTACCTTGTAGGTTTCCATTTAGCCATCAGTTTTTTCAGAAGGTGCGCACTGAAATGCTAAGACTGAAGTTTTCCATTTGCCCCCACGTTCCAGTACTTGCCGTGCCAGATTACCATTGCCTGATTGGTCTGTATTCTCCTTGAGACCAGAACCCATAAACGTACGTGTAGTGGTGTTCTCTGATGTTAACTCGTTTTCTACCATGTAGCACAATGCTTGATGCATAGTTTGTTGGACATGGACATGGACGTAGTTTGATGGACCATGCCCTACTAAAGTTTGCTTTTAAACTTCAGACTCGATATTTTAAAGATATATCTTAAAATGCAGGTTAAGAAATGTTGTAATTGCAATAGGTAGCCACTGAATCACCATACCCTCCAAAGTTTTAGATAGAACATTGTGAAAAAAATTTTTTTAAGTGTTTTTAAGAAGAAAAACTGCCCTTCAAGGTAGTTTGCAGCTGTGTTACAGTAATGCATTCATTGGACCAGATAGTCAGGAGTCTCATTTTGTTGCCCCTTTTTCATGTTCTTAGTTACTGGCATGAATTATAATTGTTCTAAAAAAACTAAAAAAAAAAAAAATTCTTCTAAGAAAAACTAAACTGTAAAAAATGGTAGTTTTTTGATAAATGAAATTTCACAGATACAATAGCTGGAAGATGTGAGGTGGGAACTGTTAGACTCCTGCTAGTAAGTATTATGGTTTTCCTTTTTTTGTTACTTTTTAAAAAATTTCTTTAACATGTTTGATAAGTGTACAGCATTTTTGGAGAGAGTGTGGCTCTCTCTACCTTTCATTATCTTTTTTTTGGGGTGATAGGAGTTAGGTTAGTGAGAATGAGACTATCTTGGTTGAGTGCACTTCACTGAAAATTTTTGATTGCATAAGCATCATGTTATTTGGTCCTACCTTTAGTAGGATCAGTCTGTCAGTAAACTGAATTTGTGAATATATAATAGTACTGTTTTCTTAAAAATACTCCTCCAGAACGTAAATCTCCAGGTCCAAAACCCTGTAAATATGTCACCTGTGGCAAAAGGAAATAGAATTTCTACTCTTTTCATGAGCTAGTTTCATCTGAGATATACAACTAGATGCATAGAGACACACACACACGTATACTGCTTACTTGCCTCAGCATACAAGTATACTCAAGAGGTTCAACATACACATGAATATTAATTTTACTGTAGTTGGTCTAAGGGTTCTACACCTCTTAGACTTAGTCTAGTGATTGTTCAGGTGAATTACTAGTGACCAGATTTTAGTCTGTCTGCATAGTGATATGGGGGAAAAAAGGCTTGATTAAATTGTTTTCTTTTAGGTTTTTTTTCTTTTCTTTTTTAAAAGTTCCCTTTTTTTTTTTTTGTTAACCACCAGCTTACACTGTACAACTGTAAGAAGTGTGTTTGTTAAGAGGAAATGGAAGTTGCAGGAAGTTTATAGTAGTTTTAGCATGTGTTTTTAGTATGTCTTACCAGTCTGAAATAACCAATTTAATTTCAGAGAGGACAGCATGTGTGAGAAAATCTGATTAACCCATCTTTGAGAATTACAGAAAAACTTTAGTTCATGATATGATCAGGCACAGAGTTCCAGGTGATTCAGGTGATAAGAAATTTTTTGGCAGTTAGATTTCAGCATATTTGTCTCTCTGAGAACTTTGGTGTCTGTCAGCGACATAACTAGGAGGAATAGCATAGCGGAAAGTAAAAGTGATCTGTTAGGAACTTCAATTTAGTTTCCTTTTTAGACAAAGGATGTTTGTTGATAGTACTATTTTAATTGTTTTCTACTGTAGTAGACAGTTTCCATTTAGTATTGTCAGGTTAGTTTTAAATACGTAGTTTGAGTTAAGTGTCTGTCTTTATTCACACCAGGTTGCTTTCTTACTGTACAAATTTCTTTATTATTCTACCTGATTAGCCTCTCCAAAGTCCCTTAAACATACTGCACCAGTGTAAAACATGCGTTTATAAAAACATTTATGTGATTCTAGATTTAGAAATAAGATGATCCTATAGCTTGCCCAACTTGTCTTGTCTTGTTAACTTATTTAATATGTTTCATATCAGGTGTTTTAGCTTAGATACAGTGATTGTGTAGTGTCTGCTATGTCTGCTTGTAAGTTTCTTAACAAAAAATTGCAAAACTAGCTGAGAAGAATATATTTACTTCTTAAATTTTCTGCTGTTTCTTTTTCAGATCTTCCTTAAAAGAGAGACAGAACATGAGAGAGGGATAACTTACTTTTAAATAGGAGGACATTAGATATTTTACTATTAAAGTATTAGGCAAATTTAAGTCACATCATCTCAAATGCATATTGTCCTTGCTATCCCTCCAAAAAATATATCTACTTTGGGGTGGAATTAGGCTATTTGAGGGCTTCTAGAAGTCTAGAATTGCCAGGAGAAATGGCAGTATTCCAGTGTCAATTAATATGTGTGATCTGTAAAGTTCAAAGAGATGTTTTGGGAAAAGAAATTTCCTCTTAAAATCAGTATTTTAGCAGAAACGAAGATTGGTATTTCCTGTCCTCTTCCCAAAATTAGATGGAAAGTAAACAAGACTGGAAAATAGGAAGATAACTGAGACTTAGGTGATCTACAAATTAAGCATTCAGTTACGCCGTAGTATAAAATTTAAGATTTTCATTGATGACGTTGATTTAGTCTTGTAGTCTGTGTATATTGTTTATAATCTGTATGTATCAAATTTTGTATGTATTTATTTATAATACTGTGCAACCTTCTGTGAAGCTACTGGTTATTCTGTGCCTATACAGCCTGTGATAGTGCTTTTTCAATTTTACATATTTTTGAAGAAGTTTAGGACAAATATTTAATATATTTTGAGGCTGAGATGAAAATTATTTCCCCCCTTTTTACAAGTGATGGTAATGAGGTACAAAGTGTGGAGACTTAACTATGATTATGGAGGTTTCTGGTAAAGTCCTAGTCTCACCAGTCCATTTAATAATCTCTTTTGAAGACATTTAGGAGGTGTCATTGCAACCATCTTATCTGTGCAGATGCAGTTAAAATATTCTTGTTAGTATGATTCATCTTGCTAATTTGAAGTGAACATAGATCAAGAAATTCTAAGTTTTCTGAGTAAGACCATTCAGTTTTTTTCCTTGAACAGAGACTTGTATCAGTGGAATGTTTGAACACTTTTGAGAATCACATTCAACTATATATATGCTCATATACCTATAATTTTGTTATAGTCGTAATCAAGAATTGACATGTTTTACCTAATGTGTTCAAAACTTAAGGTCTTTTTGCATAAAGGGACTTACTAATAATCAGGAAACAAAAGTTGTTTATTTAGTTTTAAGTCTTTGTCTTGAACTGAATACCTGTTCAAATGCCAGAATCTTACAGAAAGTACATAGATGTAAAAACTGAAAATCACCTCCATGTATCATCTTACAGTGAGCTCACAAAATGAGATTTAAAAAAATCTTTTAATTTTGACGTTTCCCTTAAAACACAACAGAAATTTAACAAATATCAAGTACACAAAAATACTTTGTTTAAAACTGTCCTTAATTTTGTGTTTGTTGAATGTGTAAATCTGCTCTCTGTGTTAACTCCACTACTTTAGGTAATAAGGAATGTACCTGTTTGATATTCCAAAGTTGAACCATATATTTTCACAGCTAGATACACTGTGAGACTGGAATTTCAAAATTTTGTTCTGATCATCTGTAATTTAGCATTTCAAAGAGCTTTAAATGATCATTGGTCCAAGCTTTTCCTATTAGACTTTAAAAAACACAGATCTTAATAGTTAAATTTACTTGTCAGTAGCCTCAAAGAATGGTTGGAGTAAAGACTAGGATTTTAGAGGAATGCAGTGTTTGTTGTTGTTCTTCTTCCTCTAATACTAATGGTTTACAATTGTACTTTTCCTGTTGAGTTACAGTGAAGCTCCATGACTGTTTTTTCTTTAATTTATTTATCTTATACATAGATTTTCAAATAAATAGGTTGGGTTTTAGAAGAAAATTAAAAATAATTCTTGTGAGAAGTTTTTAGTGTTTTTTTTTTTAATAAACTAAGAAGTATAGTAAACTTTCACTACATCAAGCTTACAGAAACAATCATAGTACTATAGTAGTTTTGACTGTCAATTTATGGCTACATAATGTGTATGTCAATGTATTGTTAATGTAAATGTTTATTGTTTTCCTCTCAATGTTTCAAGTTAGACTATAAGTACCAAGGATAAATTTGGATGACTAATATAGTGAAAGTGTAAAAACACTTTAGAACAGTTACTTTGTAGATTTGTTACTATGGCCATATGAAAATTCCAGTTTGTTTATATCAATCCATGTGGCTTTTATAGGCATAGATTGGTAGTGTGGATGATGCTAGGGTTATAGCCATTCATTTAAGCAGATCATCTAGTAGTATGGTAGGTAGAAGATAGTTAAATTGAGAGCAGGAAAATAAGAGACAAAGGTATTATTTATCTTCTGTCTGTTTGTTAAGTTTGAAGAGGTCAAATGTGTGGTTATGGAGTGGATCATCTTATGACAAAGGGAATAACCAGCTTCATACTGAAATGGAAAATGAGAATAGTAGCCTTTAGACAGTATCGTTTCCATTTGTCCATCTTACTCTTATTTTTCTAATTAGGCATTTGATTGTAAGAAGTGTTTGTAAGATAGACGGTCCTGGGGGTTCGAGAGATGGGCAGAAATAGAAGAGGTGAATATGTGAGGTGTTTGGTTAAGCCTGAGCTTATAGAACAGATTAAAAAATGAGTAAATGAGTTCATTATTTTTGAGAGACTAGGAAATTAAAAATAGTTAAGATTGGAATGAATGTTTCAGAGTAAAATGTGAATGTTTGTTACATGTAGGTATGCAAAGTCTTTCTTATGTTTTTCAACTACCAATAGTAATTTTATGGTTTCTGTTTTTATTCTAATGTTTTAACTTTCTTTCTTAGGTGGTATCATGGAAAACTTGATAGAACTATGGCAGAAGAACGCCTCAGGCAGGCAGGGAAGTCTGGCAGTTACCTTATAAGAGAGAGTGATCGGAGGCCAGGGTCCTTTGTACTTTCCTTTCTCAGCCAGACGAACGTTGTCAACCATTTTAGGTAAGTCTTTATTCCTGTTATGAGGCTACGTCCTATAGCTGTTTGGCTGTAGTATTCATAAATATACCTTCTTTAGTGACATTTAAATAATGGATAAAGAAATGTGTTTTCAATTAAATGATTTAATAAGTGTTTTAGAATAGATACTATTAATGCATTACATTTTTGTTTAAAAACAGTATTATTGGACTTTTTTGGTGCTGATCATAGTTACTGCTTTTAAAGTACAAAGAATTACAAGGAAACTTTGGTAAAGCAGAAATAAAGGAAATGTATACTTTCAGATCACTGAGTAATAGAAAATGCAGAAACTGTGTTTTAAAAGTGCCCTTTACTTCATTTTACCTTTTCTGTTCTGAAACTCTTTCCAGACATTCATTCATTTAAACAGGTATCTGGATTTTCAAGTACAGCTGAAAAAGTCTGTATCAATATATTTACATATAGTATTGTCTTTGATTTCATTTTTATGGGAGATGTTGAAAAAGATCACCTAGTGCCTGTAAAGTTGAATGATAAAGTGTTTGTATACCCTTAATTTTTAGATTTTAAAATAGACTTTAAAAGTACTATCATCACACATGGGATGTGAAATTATTATACTCAGAATATTTCAAGAGCTCTGTAAGCTACTTTTCTAGCCTAAGAAAATTATTAAAATTGCTCTTTTGTCTTAAATGTGGAAAGTAAGGAGAGGTGTCTGAGGATGAATTTATAAATATTTTAATGAATTAAGTAATTGAGGTTTATAAGTCACATATGTATTTCATTTCAAATGTATGCATATATCTTTTCAAAAAGAAATAGCCTCAAGTAATTTGCATATGGTGAAGGTATTAATAAGTGGTATTTTAATACAGGTATGTAGGTAAAGGAAAAGTATGAGAATTACAGATTTCTAATTTCTATGGAACTTGGTCTTAAATTGACTATAAAGGTTTTTCTTATATTGTATTTTTTTTCCTGTACAAACAGGATTATTGCTATGTGTGGAGATTACTACATTGGGGGAAGACGTTTTTCTTCTTTGTCAGACTTAATAGGTTATTACAGTCATGTTTCCTGTTTGCTTAAAGGAGAAAAACTGCTTTATCCAGTTGCACCACCAGAGGCAAGTGAAATGTCTTTCAAAACTTTATTATTTCACTTTACTTAATAGGATTAGCTCTTGTTCAGTGTCTCGTGATGTTTATTATAATATAATTCAAGATTTAATTCTGGTTGTAGTGTCAGAGCAAAATTGGCAGCTTCTTTTAAAAACGAGTGATTTTACTTTGTATTTACTAGATTTTTTATCATACTGTATGATGATACCCTAACAAATATTTCTTAGTAAGTGAGGAGTAATTACTGATATCATAGTACTAATGCTGAAGTTGTTCTGAGATTCTGAAATGTCTTATGCATCATTGGAGAAAGCTTACTTTATATGTTCTGGAGTTTATTTAAAATTAAGTGATAACTCATAATACCTGATTAAAAACATATTGGTTATACTGTTAAAAGAATTTTTGTAAAAACAAAAACACAACAAGATGAGCATTTCTAGGATTTGGTTTTTAGAGCCCCAGCAAAAAATAGTTTGATCCTAGGATTCTATAATGTGGATTTTTATTGACTTTTTATGTGGGCATATCCAATTTGACTTTGACATAGAAAAGTTTTCTTCTGTAAATCAATTTTTTTATGGTTTCTAGCCAGTAGAAGATAGAAGGCGTGTCCGAGCCATTCTCCCTTACACAAAAGTACCAGACACTGATGAAATAAGGTATTTTATAATATATTTTCATTTATAGGCATTTGAAACAGACTTTGAAAATTTGTAGCTCTTGGACTAGGAAAGTTTTGGAAATTGAGGAAATAGCATCCAGCAAAGCATGTCTTTAATATTAAAGTCCATTGTTCCTGTCTCCCTGTGTTGGCTTATCTGTTCAGACTGTGGATTTGGATCAGAGAAGCCACAGTGAAGATGACAGGAGAAATAGCTTTTATTAGACTATCTTACAAAGTAAGGAGAGTTCTATTATATTCGGTACTCTGTTTTAATTTTTATTACATGACATTTATGCCTCATCTGTAAATGTTACTCAAGTGATGATTTAATTTTTATTTTACATTATGAGTGAATAATTTTAATTGTTATTAATGGTATAAAACTATAGAACATAGTAAATTTTGGTTTTTTATTATATAATTTACAGTTTGTTTTTATTATATCTGTAGAATTTGATTTATTATATGAATGGATAATTATCAAATTCACTACATAATTTGATAATCAATTATTAAATTATCTGTATCTTTCTGTAAGCTTCCAGCTTTCTGATTTGTTTCTTACTTGTAAAATGTTAATGCTACTTTGGATAATTACTGGCCCTGAGTTAAAGCTTCTCATGGAAATGAACAGCAGCATTTAAAATGTAGTGATAACTTTTGGAAGGTACTAAAAGCCAAAGACAGTAAAACTGTTGGTATCTTAGCACGAATCAAGACAGTGTAACAAATATATAGTGTTTTTCACTACCCCACCCTTGCGGTTAAACAAAATCACTGGTTTCACTTATGACTGTTCTTGGTGAAATACGAAAGCATATTTATTTTCTAAATCTCACCCATGGCTACATATCTTTTTAATGTCTTTGTGATGAGATGGGACATATTATTCAGAGAACACCTCTGCTGTATACCAGAGTTCAGTGTTTTGAGGAAAAGAGGTACATTGAAAGCTGAACTGGCTCCCTTTTTTGTGCACACCATTTTCACTTGAGAGAATAACTGACAGGCAAATTATAGTTATTCAGACTTGAGTATCTGACCTTTTTTTAAGAGGAATAACTGACAGTATTTGTCGCCAATGACAATTTGAGCTTTCAGGGAAAAATGAGAATTTTGGATACCCTATATTTGCCATCAGGAGTTTGACAGCTTCTTAGATACTTCATGACTTTTCTGACAAGATTGGTGGTGATATTGAAGAATGTAATGTTTTGATACTGTATAACATATTTATATCTGGATGGATCTGCATAGCTCAGTGAAACAGTATTTTCTAAGTGATCAACGCATGGTGTTACCAAATTATGGCTGGGCAAAAGATATACTCAAAGGATGTTATTGGAGTGGAACGGACAGGAAGTTCATAGATGCGTAGTTTAAGATTCCACATTATAACCAACCTCCAAGAAAGTAGTACTGTCAAGTTTTAGGTTTAATGTCGTAGAATATAGTTATCTGAAAGGCTATTAATATACTCTTCCCTTTCACAGCTACGTATTTGTGTAAAGCCAGATTTTCCTCATATACTGTAAGCAAAAAAAACTGTATAGCAAAGACTGAATACAGAAACAGGAGAATCCAGTAGTTTTCAGTTAAGCCAGACATGTGGAAGAATGCAAACAATAATAATCTTACTGAACTTGTAAAAATTATAATTACTTTTTGTATTATCATGATAATGGGGTATGTTACTATTTTAAAGGAGTTAATAAATATTTTTAAATATTTACATTTTGAACTCTGATATGGTAAACCCCAATAGATAGATAATTCATGTAAATGAATGAATGAGAAAACCTGTCAGGGTATCAATTTTTAAAAGTGTAAATGGGTCCTGAGAGACCTTCCAAAAGTTGAATACTTCTGACCTAGGAAGGTAAAAATTGAAACACAAATTAGAATGATATTAATATGTATGCAGTTGTGAGTCGTCATAAATTTGCATATACCTGAGAGGGCTTCCTTGGTGGCTCAGACAGTAAAGAGTTTGCCTGCCTTGCGGAGTTCTGGGTTTGATTCTTTCATTGGCAAGAATCTCATGGAGAAGGAAATGGCAACCCACTCCAATATTCTTGCCTGAAAAATCCCATGAACAGAGGAGCCTGGTGGGCTCCATAGGGTTGCAAAGAGTCGGACATGACTGAGCAACTAACACACACTAATAACTGAGAAGTGTTTTTTTTTTTTAAGGAAAAACATCTGAAGATTAATAAAATTTAATAAAGCACTTTAACCTGTTTTGAAGAAAAATGCAAAATAATACATAATGAATCTTAGGATTATGTTTTGTTATCTTACTAGGTGCTAGTAAGCTTTTTATTTTCTTTTTCTTTTTTTTACATCATAAAAACTTGGTAGTATAACAGCAATAAAAGAAGTAAACAACTTAAAAAACTCTTATGACTGCATTTGACCAAAAATGAAACATGACATTTCTCATTTCTCTTTGACTTCTTATCCATAGGCACTCCCTTTTTACTTACTCATGATTATTTTCTTAATGTATCTATTTGGTTCTGGAAAAGAACAATTTATTTGGCTAAGTGGTTATGTCTGCCACCTTTCAGGTAGTAAAATATTGGTCACTGTTAAGACCTTTAGAATCAAGGTAGAATGCAGCATTCTGTGCTATTCAAAAAGAGTGTATTTCAAGCGTGATGAACAGTTTTTATTCTTGAACTACTCCAAGTAACAATGAAGCTTCAGATAGTCTAGAGAAAAACAAAGTTTCCAAAGACACGAGAAGAGATTTACTTACTACAACTTTGGTTTATTTATTAAGTTTGAATATTTGGTTTGAATATTAAGACTGAAAGGAAAATTGATTAAATAAATACATATATATGACAGATAATGATACAGATACAGGGTTAGTGGTAGCATCCAGTCAATCTTAAAATCTTAATCACTCAAAAGCATTTGTTCAAACCTAAAAGGAAAAGTTCAAGGAATTCTTAATGGGTTTTATATTGATGAAATACATTAACAATTTTTTAGTTCTGTGATTGGGTAAAGATTGAAAACATCTAGACAGCAATGAAAATAAACTGTATTGTCTGTGTGTGTGTATATATATCACTTCACTTGGATATTGATGACAGAAAAAACATGCATGCATTTTCATACCCCTTGGTTCCACTTTTGGAAAAAGAGTGCTGTACTTGTTGTACCGTGGATAGCTGAGTGAATTAAATAAACCCTATTGTTTTTTTTTAAAATGAGAGAAATGTTAGTTTCATAAGCATCTGTGTGGTAAGGCTAATTATGCTTATTTAAAATAAACTTTTTATAAAGTAACTTGTGTATGTGGAATGAGTTTATGTTTATAATTTTAGTTTAAATTACTTTTGAAAGAGTAATAACATTGAAACTTAAATTTTAAAGTTCAGTTTTCTTGTAGTTACAACCCCAAAGCTGTAATATATGTATAATTACTGTCCACATAAATTCCAGTTTGAGTCTAGTAATAATCCAGTAATATAGGTAGTACAGTTACCATTATTAAACCCATTTTACACATGATGAAATTAAGATTCAGATTTATAAGTATCTTCAAAGTTTTACATATAAATGATGACAGAAACAGAACAAAATACTAGGGTATTTGACTTTAACCCCTTGCATTTTTATAGTATTATCTCTGTGATGTGGTATATGATCACATAAATGTCCATGTTTCAAGGTTTCATTTAATTTTGATAACTTCATAATTACTATTTTCAGTTTCTTAAAAGGAGATATGTTCATTGTTCATAACGAATTAGAAGATGGATGGATGTGGGTTACAAATCTAAGAACAGATGAACAAGGTCTTATTGTTGAAGACTTAGTAGAAGAGGTGGTAAGTTTTATTTTTTTCTTCTCCTTCTTAAAACTTTAAATACTTCTTAAATTTGAAACTTGCCCATAATCAGGGAAATCAGCTATAAATATATTTTTTATGAAAAACCTTTATTCATAAGTGCAAGTAATTTTTCATTAAAATGCATTTGCTGTTGGTAAATGCTATATATTTGTAAAGAGCACATCCGAGTTAACCACATCATTCTGTAGCTGCCAATTTTTGGAAAGTTTTCATGAGTTTTTAAGAATTAAAAGTGTATTAACGTTTGTGCTTGTTTGTATCCCTTTTTAAAAGTCTTCTTGGTCTTCCTCATAAATGATGTTATGTCAGACTGACCGTGGAATCTCAAGTGGTTGCACATGTTTGCTTTCAGATTCTTTAGCTCCCAAATATATGTATAATTTTCTAGTAACCTTGGAGAAATTTAGTTACATTACACATATATTATCACATGGTTTTATATTTTGAATATTTGGCTTGTTTTCAGTGTCATCACAAAGTACATTATCAGCAGTCTTAGACACAGTATAAATAATTCTACATATGCATTTTTAGATACAGATCAGCATTCAAGCAGCATTTACACTTCAAATACAGTATTCAGTATCACCGAAACATATTAAACGTTGTATTATAGTTTAGGAATTCACCATTTGGATTTGTCCAGCAGGATGGAATGGTTTTCTGTTATTCTTTTCACAACCTTCAGAGTGACTACTTTTAAATTATGCCTTGAACCTGGTAATATGCTGAAACCTGTGCTCTGATTATTGTTCCAGGAGGACGGCAGTGGAGAATATTTTTCTTTGCTATTAATTCTCTTGTCTGCCTATTCTGGCAGCCATATCTTGATATGTAAAAGTAAAACATACTGAGGAAAAGTGGGAAGAGTTGAGGAAATGGTATGATATGTTCCATACTCATAGTCACATCGTTACTTAGGTAGAAGAATTGGGATTAGAACTAAGGCCTAGATTAGAATTCTGTCTTCTACAGCAGAAGAGGTATTTATTCTCTATGGGCAAGGCATGTTCAAACTGAAGAATCTTACTATCTAGGTTAGTTTTACTAAAAAGTTGCTTCATAGTATGTTGAATTTTCTTCCTGTTGTAACACACCTACCCTCATTATGCTGATTATTTAAAGGAATTGAAGTATAGTTAAACTTTTCTTTCAAGCTCTTGGGACTCTGGGTCAAATTTAACAAGACAAATTTTAATAAGGGTAAGTGAAAATTACCTGATGAATACAGAAAAAAAAAATCCTGTTTGAGATAAGGAGACATGACCTAACATAAAAGGAATGAAAAAAAGAACAAGTTAACAGTCCAATATGAGTTAACGATGTGATGTGGCTGTTAAAAATGAATATGGTCAAAAAAAATGAATATGGTCATACTTTGAATTAGTAGTGGCATAATCCCAAATTAAAATTACAGTTTTTCTCCAATATTTAGAATGATTTTTCATAATGGTCTTTATTGGAACATAGTTAATCCTTGAAGGTTAAAGAGCCATTTGGTGATTATCTAGATTTCAGACAGGTGGTTTGGTGGTTAGCTTTGAGAGATTTTCCACTATGACATTCTAATTTTAATTACCATTCTCCAAACATATTTGTTCTGTTATGTCTTAATTCTAGAGTATAAGCTCTCTGAGGGTTTTTGTCTATGACTCAGTGATGTGTCACCTTTGCCCAGAATAATGCCTTGAAGTAGAGGCAGGCAGTCAGTGTTTGCTGAATGAATGGCTGTCTCTATGCCGGTTGTCTTCCGTCTTCCTTGACACTCCTACCCTGCTGGATTGATGTCTGAAATCTGATTGTCTCTCAGTTCAGCTCAGATGTTGCCTTTTCTTTTAGAGAGATTTATGCTTTCTGAGGCTAAATTGTTTCCTCCTGTGTTTCCATAGCACCTTCTTAACTTTGTATCCCATTACATTGTAAAATAAATTTATTCTGTAAAAATCTCATATAATTAACTCTGGGTAAGAAAATAATGCATTTTGTTTTTATGTCTTTTTTTTTTTTTTTTTTTTTTAGTGTTTTGTAGTATAGAAGGCATCTAGCAAGTGTTTGATTTTACTTTGGTTAGATATTTGAGTGAGGACCAAATTGAGAGAAGTATTAATAAACCTACATATACTTAGTCCATTTTTCTATTCTTACCTTTATTATTCAATGGAAACTTGATGCCACAGTATACTGGCTGGGTATTAGGACTACAATTCAACAGATACTCAGTGAGAATTATATGCCCAGCTTTGTGCTAGTGGTTTGGTGGTAGTTGGTATTAACAAAGAATGACTGAGATCTTAAGATGCTTATAGCCACGATAATGAAATTAATATCACCCAGTTATTATAGCAATATCTAATAGAGTAAGGTAAAGTTCAAGAGATTATAAAAGAAAGATGTCTTTTCTATTCAGAGTAAAAGTTCATATATGTTTTAGGGACGCAGTTTATAGAGTAGGCACTGCGTTTGAGAGATCCCGCATACACAGTTTAGGTTTTAACAAATACCTAGGGAAGTAGTGAGTGGAAAGGGCATTCTAAGTAAAAAAGAACAGGCTACAGTGGTGGGAGAATGTAGATTAGCAAAAAGGCAGTTTATGTGCCTCTGTACACCATGGTTACGGTATATAGATACCAAAAGAGAAATGAGATAGAAAACGTAGCCTTGAGTTATATGATAAAGGATTCTGGTTGTAAAGTGAGGAATTGTAGGCAGTAGAGAAGTATTAAAGGTCTTGTTTTTAAAATTTGTTAGTTTTGTTTGATGTTTCTTAATGCAGGGCAGAGTTGAAGTTGAAACTGATGAATCCATATTGGAGTGGGGTGGGGCACAGAGGTAGTTATACTAGTTGGGCTACTGTTAATAGTTTAAGAAAAGGGAGGAAAAGTGCCTGGATTAGAATAATCACAGAGAGAGAGAAGGACTAAGGGGAAGAGTTTTGAAAAGACTTTTCATAAACAGAAACACCTTTTCCTGTATATACATAAATAGATATGAAGGTCAGGGTGTAGATATATTTGAAGGTACAATTTTATTAATTTTATAAAAAATATATTAATAGTTAACATAAAATACTGTCTTAATGTCTTCCCCTTTAGGGCCGGGAAGAAGATCCACATGAAGGCAAAATGTAAGTTTGTGTTAATTATTAAAAGGAAAAAATATGCGGTGCAATTACTAATTGGAAAACTTTGATCTAAAAATGTTTTAGAAGAAAAGTGATACTTTTTGAGCTGTTTTAAAAATTTATTTTTATTTGACTCAAGAATTGATTTCTATTTTCTTAAGGACCTAGTGATAATGAAGATGGCTTATACCTACATACAGTTCTTAGATTACCAAACTAACGACTTTTTGATTAACAGTAAACAGTACATTAGTAACATTATGAATATCATAATTCCTCACACTTTGTTTTCTTGTTGATTACTTCTTAGTATTTCTTTTTGTTGCCATATCTTTTATGTACTTTATAGTTCAGTTTTTGTTTTGTTTTTTAAAAGTCAGAGAACTTTCCCCTGAATTACAGTTCTTTACCATATTAATAAGATTCTGCAAGGACTTTGTTTTTATAACTTTTTTAAGGCAGATTTTAAGTATCTTATAAGGGCTAATTCAAAGGCCAGGTATTACTACACTTACTCCTTGCCACATTCTTCCCTTATTAGTTGTTCTTACAGGGCATCATTCCACATGGGGTTTCAGCTGTGCTCTAATTTATTAGTGTCCTTGAAGATCTTTTTAAGTGTCCTTCTCATCCCATTTAATATTTATTTGTATATATGTTTTCTTTAAAGACCTTACCTCTTAATCCCAATTCTGTTTTACTCATGTTATTTTAACTGACAGTTAATCTTCTAATGTGTTTTCAGTGGAATACTTTTTCTTACCTTCCTGTCGGCAGTTGTGGGTAGCATTGAAGATTTCTTTCTCAAGTGTTTGTTTATTCTGTTCTAACCATTAAAACATGAAAACATTAAGCCAAATAATGTGCTTTCAGTTATCTAATTTAGCGTCCACTCTTCTTTAAGTGAAGCATGAGATATTTTCTGAGTTCATTTTCCTTATTGTTCTATGTAGCTGCTGGTAGGCTCCATCAGTGAGACTGTACTTTGTTTATTGTACTAGTTTGAGGTCTTCTCACTACTTATGTGAGGAGTTACAAATTCTAATTATTGTTAGAGGATGCATACAGATAATGAAAGCAGATGAACTGAGTCAGGTGTATGTATTCCCATTTTTCTCAAATTACTATAATCTTAATCTCTTATTTTCCCTCTTTGATAGCAATTAAGGTACATGGAACTATTTCCATATTGTAATTTCTATTACAGTATTTCCCTACTCTAATTTTTTATACACTGCAAATGTGATAAATGGAAATAAACATTCGTTCTTTGTATTAGGGAAGACTAGGAAGTCAATGGCTTCCCAGGTGGCTCAGTGGGTAAAGAATCTGCCTGCAGTTCAGGAGACATGAGTTTAATCCTTGGGTTGGGAAGATCCCCTGGAGGAGGAAATGGCAACCCACTCCAGTATTCTTGCCTGGAGAATCCCATGGACAGAGGAGCCCAGTGGGCTATAGTCCATGGGGTCTCAAAGAGTCGGACACGACTGAAACGACTGAGCACACACCCAGAAGAAGTCAAAACTAGCAAATGTTTGCCTGCGGTGAGGTGCGTGCACTCACTAATGTGTCAGAGTTTAGGAACCTAGTGTTAACAAAAGCCTCCTGATTTCCAAGAGAAGCGAGAAAGGTAGGTTTTTGTCTCTATTAAAATCATACCATGGATTCTTTTTAAAAAGGGGAAAAAAAGAGATCAAATACCAGTACATATCTAAGGCCGTATCCAGTTTTCTAAGTGTAAACTGTGACTCCCACTTGCATTGGGAAATCTTTTTTTTTTAATAATTTAATATCATTGTGATTTTTCCATTTTCTGAACTTCTTAATTTTCTACTCATTTGGTATTTAGCATAAGATAAATTTGCATTGTTGGTTTATTTTATGTATTTGTCAGCTCCCTGTAACTTAAGGTGTTGACTGGCAGTAGAACATCCTCATTAATTTCCTGGAGTGCTCTTTGAGACTAAACAGTTGGTATAACTAGCTGTATTCCTTTGATGTAATGATCACCTCCCAGTTGGTTTTGCTTGACACTTTAGTTTCCTCAAATCCTTTCTTCCAACAGCTAAAACACTTAAAACATGTATCTGACTGTTTTACTTTTTCCACTAAAAATTCTTGTCTGATTTTCTACCTTAGCAGAGTCTGAAAAGTTCTCCTGATACAGCCCTTGTTTCCTTACAAGTTTTATCTCTTGTCATTTTTAGTTTTATATCCTCCTCTCCAGCTTGTAGATCTTTGAATGTATATCATTGTTTTTTCTCCTTTGCTCAAGCTACTTCCTAGGCCAGATTCCCCTCTGGTGTATTGGTTAATGTCTATTCTTCAGTTCAGTTCAGTCGCTCAGTCATGTCTGACTCTTTGCGACCCCATGAACGTCAGCACGCCAGGCCTCCCTGTCCATCACCAACTCCCGGAGTCCACCCAAACCCATATCCATTGAGTCAGTGATGCCATCCAACCATCTCATCCTCTGTCGTCCCCTTCTCCTCCTGCCCCCAATCCCTCCCAGCATCAGGGTCTTTTCCAATGAGTCAACTCTTCACATGAGGTGGCCAA